TGGAGAGAGAGAGAGAGAGTGAGTGATAGATTGAGAGAGAGAAAGAGTCGGGGTGTGTTTTGGGGGGGGGGGCGCCGTGTCCATGTAGGGCTGGAACAGAATGTAAAAGTAGGTTGTCCAGCATCAGTACGAGATGGTCTCGCTCGTGCCGCCAACTAGGAGTAAGATGTAGGCTTAGTCCGAGGCGCATCCAAGGCCACCGCTACAGAGCAGATGGGTGGAAGAGGGGAGGAGGGGAGGAGAAACAGCCCTCCTAAGGGGGGGGGGGAGGGGGGCACCGGAATGGACGCGAGGGCGAGGCACGCGACGATGGCCCACTCGCAGCCGGGCTTACCGAGGTCGGGCAGAAACACCATCGCGTAAAACAGTGCGCACCTTTGACGGCAAATGCCGCAAGCGGGTTGGGCCGCAGATTTGCCCGCAGCAAGCACGGCGCTCGGGGCAGCGCCCCGGGGGCGAGGGCTGGGCAGATGTTGCACGGCCGGGAGCGAGGGCTGGGCAGGGCTTGGCGCGGCCCCTCACCAAGTGCCCGCGTTTGGGGAGGCGTAAGGGAAGCCGTCAGTGCAGACGAGCGGGCGGTACTTCCAAATCACGTGGTGCGAGGGGCCCATGAGCAGGTCGAAGCCCATGCCTGCGGCAGCGCGTGGGGGGCAATGTCGAAGCGGAGCAGGCCTAGGTGATGACGGCGGAGAGGGCGGGGCGGGAACTTGTGTCATGGCGTTTGCGGCCTCGACGTGACCATTCGCGCTCGAGACAGCGTCCACGCAGCGAGAATACAGCGTATCCGCAGCACGCGTGCCGAGAATACCGAATACAGATCCGCAGTGCGCATGCCGCCAAGTGAGGTGCGGGGGCACGTGCATGTGTCTTCCGGCATCTGGTTGAGGAGAACACCCCAGCTGGAGTGAAGCGAAGAGTGCATAGCGGGGAGGAAATCGCAGACCTACTCAAGGGCGGGGGCGGGAGGCGTCACACGCAGGGCTGATCAAGCTGCGGCGCAGCGCACATCATCGCCAGGGAAGGGAATAGCCGTGACCCGCCGGCTCCCCGGGAGGCGTACTCTGAACCAAGACAGGTGCGGCCGAGAAGAGGGGAGGGAGGGCGGGCACGCCTTCCCGAATAGCGATCCGAGCCAGACATCCCCGATCATGTATGCCGTCAGCAGCGCGAGCAGCGCCTGGTAGCTGCCGTGGTGGAGCAGGCTTCGGTGAGGCCCCGCGCTCGGGTACGTGCGTTTCATGACGACCACCGCGTCCGGAGCGGTAAGCGTGAGGAGGAGCGCAAATGGGATGAAGAAGTACACGGTCAGGCTGAACGCCGCCGAGGCTCCGATGAGCATGTTCCGGGACTCAGAGGTGGATGCAAGAGCCAGCATGTTGAGCGCCTGCGAGCCCTCCATCGCGAGCTGGTTGACGTGAAAAGCCAGCGAGCGCCAGGAGCGGCGGCCGGCCAGCTTGTACGCGGCGATTATGACCGCGTACGACGCGGCGAAGGCGCAAGTGGTGTTGAAGGACCAGCACATCGTATCAGAGACCAACAAGCCGGCCCTCGGGGGGGGATGTGGCCGAAGAAGAAAAACGACTTTTTTCAGTCATTCCCGTAGGAGGACTCTGAGATGAGACCGCCAGTGGATGTGGGAGTCCACCGCGCACCGCGCTGCGAGCCTGTCGTGTCCCTTGTCAGGAGCAGGAGAGCCCCACCTGTCCCCCTGATCGTTCTTCCAAAATCCTGCTCGTGCAGGTGGGGACCCTGTCCTCGTCCCATCCCTCGTTTGGCGTGTCTGTTTTCTTTCTTTTTTTTAGGAGGACTCTGCTGTGTGAGTGAGTATTCTTGATACGAAACCACGACGCACACCAGTCGACTCGTATCGGTTGCCTCCATGAACGGCGGAGCTATTCTCGCGCCCACACCACACCTGGCTCCAACGTACATTCCCTCGAGAAAAATTTCGCACAAAAATAAAAGGAATAAAAAGTTGGCAGAAGACCAGGCGTGCCGTTCTCCCATCCCTCCCTTGGGTTGTCTGTTTTCTTTCTTTTCTTTAGAAGACCAAGCGGATGCAAAACAAGAAGAACAGGAGAAGCGATCCCACGACAGCGATTGTGGGGACTATAAGGTCCGTACGTGAAGGGTGGAGGGGCCCGTCCGCAAAAAACCCGGTCAGCAGTCCTCCTCCGGGAATGTACGTAAGAGCCACATACATTGAAAAACACTTTGGCAGAGGATGAAAAGAAATGTTTTTGTTTGACCGCGCAAGATATAAAGGGTGGCTAAGGGCTGCGCAAGGCGCCCGCGTCGCAGACGCGGTACCATTGACAAATCTGCAATAAATATACCCCCACACGAACAAATTCAAATAGCAAAATCCGAATACCGTGCGCAAAATCCGACGATGTCGGCCGTGGACGGGACGCAAGCCTTCAGCTGGTGCCAAGACATCCGTAAAATTGAAGCCAAGAACGTCCGCCAAATCCGAACAACTCTAACACTCACACGAGACACGTCATTTTGGGGCCTGGAGCCCTGTTCACGCGCGCGCGAGACGTGCAGACAGGGTTGCCAGGTGAGAGCGAATGGCGCGGTTCACGCCTCGCACAACAGAGAGAAAGATGCGCTCTGCATGGTGGGACATAAAAGAGAGCGAGTACTTGGGCGAGTAGGCCGTGCGGTCAACGCTGCCGCGCGCGACTTTGCGCGCGAGGCGGCGTCAGTTCCGCGCCAAAGACTTGCATCCCGTGGGCGTGGGCAAGGATGAGAGGATGGGCCGCACAGGCGACGATGGCTAGCACGACGCCCGTAGCCGACATCGCCGCATGGACGCTCCACAGCGGCAGCTCGCTTGCCGCCCGAGGTAGATCCACCCGAGCGAGCGCGGAGCTCGCGGCCGGGGGGGGGGGGGGGTACCGAGCATTGTGCGGCCGCTCACAGCTCACAGCGTAGGGGTCATAGCGTGGGGGGCCTCTAGACAAGAATATACAATATACACTGACACTCATTCCCCTGGCAGAGCTCGACCCGGCAGAAAAGACCATCACTATGGGCGCACGTAGAGGAGAGTCATACAAATGAATTCCGTCCGGTGATGCGGGAGATGCATGCGGCGGATCGTCACAACTCCCCCCCCCCCCTATCGATCCTGACGAAGCCAGACGCGCAAGCGCTAGTCTGCACCACCTCTCTTATCGGCAGTTATGGTCTTGCTGCTGCAGAACCGTGCTTTCTTGGAGCTGGTGCAGCTCATCAGCAGATAGCTCATCCCAAATCTCACCAGCAGCCAGAGGTATACTGGCAGGCCGAGGATGAGAATGCTTGCCCGAAAAATTGGAGAGGCAAGGGCGGGAGGCAGAAAGCGAAAACGGATCATTTTTTGACGGAGATCTGGCGGAATCTTTGCCCACATTGCCCCGTAACCCGGCAACAAAACTGCGGGGCTTTGAGGGCCCCAAAAGAACTTGAGGCTTCCCAGAACGGAGCTGAACGAGCGGCACCGTAGGACAAAGGCAAAGCTGACTTCCTCCGCAGAAAACCAGTGCCAGGTCGTGGATGGCATAAACAGCATTTGGCCCGGCTTAATGTCTACCGTCCATCCTCCGAGTCCCTTGAGACACTCAGGCGCCTTTGTCCAATCAATGGGCTTCCGCAGATCCTCGCTTGCCAGCTGCAAGAGTGCAGCTTCGGAGACAAAGGAGTGCGGGAACAACGTGGCCCGTTTGTGGCCAAACACACACCAGATAAGGTGGCAGCAATGGCCAGCTGTTCCAATCCCATGGGCCCTGACCGCAAAAGGATGCATCCTGCAACGCGCGTAGGTCTACTTGCTCCATCAGTGCAACCTTGGTATTGAGAAGGAATTCGTGCGGTGGAAAAGCATCGGCAAAGTGCTTTATGGGAGTGCCCTCATCGAGCTGCTTCAAAAAGCTCCGGAGTGGCAAGCTTTTTTTAAATGCAGTTACTGGCTCGTCGGCGTTGCTGTAGCAGATGTCCTGGTCGCCAACGCCTGACTGCTCAAAAAACTCGCGACTCCATGCGATTCTTTCTACCCTCGACGGGTCCCACTTTGAATTGTTTTCTTTAAATTCTTTTGCAAGAGAGGGTCGGCGTGCGCGAATACGGCTTATCACACATATGCGGTCCTGGGCCCGGGGAGGGAGGAGGCCCGGGCCGGACACCTCCAAGTACATGGCGATCTTCGACACGTACAAGGAGGCTGACGCCGAAGAGCCTAGCATTGGGCCGGACGGGGTCGAGAAGCTCTGCGCTGACATGGGCGTCGACCCGAGCGATGTGACGCTGCTGGTCCTCGCGTGGGCGATGGGCGCGAGCAAAATGGGCTACCTGACGCACCAGGAGTGGGAAACGGGCGCCGGGCGGCTCGGCGGCGCCTCCTCTGCCGCGGAGCTGCAGAAAGAGCTGCAGGCGCTCTTCCAGGCGCTCCTCGGCGACATCGAGCGCTTCCGCGACCTGCACTCCTTCACGCACCGCTTCTGCCGCGAGGATCCGCGGCGGAAGAACATCGACGTGAACTCCGCCGTCGTCATGCTCGGCCTGCTCTTCAAGCCGACCTGGCCCGCGCACGCGTCCTCCCTGTGTGAGTACTTCTCGGGCCACAAACAGCTGGTGGGTCGGCCGCGCCTCCCCTCTACCGCCGCCGCCCGAGCCTGAGTCGGCCTCTTGGGGTGTGCGCCCGCAGGCGCAGCGAGGCGTCTCGCACGACGAGTGGATGATGGCGCTGCAATTTTGCCGCGAGATTCTCCCCGACTGCTCTAACTTTCAGGCGCATTGACAACGGGCACGCACGCACGACGCTGTCACGCACGCAGACACGCACGCAGACATGAAGGACACGCACGCACGCACGCAGACACGGACGCACGCACGCACGCGCGCTCTCTCTCTCTCGCTCTCTCTCTCGCTCTCTCTCTCTCTTGGGCGCCGAGGGGCACCTCCAACCCGTCAAACCCCGCCCCTCGCAAACACACGCGAGAGCAAGACCTCAGCTTGCCTTGCCTCTCTTGCAGGATGATGGCGCGTGGCCGGTGCTGCTAGACGACTACGTCGAGTGGAGGCGCGCCAAGGACGGCAACGCGTGACTCAGGGGCCGAGAGCCATCGGCTGCACCAGCGCAGGCGCCTGCTCCGAATTACACCTGTCGTGTCCGCAAGTCTCCGCTTGGGCTTCGGCAGAGAGCAGGGTGGCCGTTGCTGGTCCGGCGGCACTGCTGCTGCGACTGTCGTGCTAGCTGCTATACCAGAAGAGAGAATGGGCCCAGAGAAGAGTGAGAAGACAGTAGAAGGAGATGAAGCACACACACAAGGCACAAAACACGTGCTCCGCGCGTCTCCGTGCGCGCGTTGTGGTCGAGACAATAAAATGGGTTAAAAACAGAGCTGGTCTCCGCCCCCTAGTCGTACTGGGCGGCGCGCTGCCCCCTGCCCGCGGGGCTCCTGCGTCCTAGCACCTGCTGGGGGTGGGGCAGGGGGCCGCCGGATCCGGATGACGATCGGCCGTCGATCCCGAAGGGTCGTCGGTTGAGCTAGGGAGCCTGGCGATGGACGCCACCGCGACCCCTCGTGGCATCTCTCTCGCCGTCGGCGAGCCGGGGGCTCGCAGACGGCCGACTTTCTATATGACCAGTAGGACAGCCGTGAGTCTGAGTGTGAATCGGATAAGGAGTTTGCGTCCGTCCACCGTCTTCGTGGACGTCTGTCCTCGTGACACCCACACCCCACACGGCCTGTTTTGCTTCACACGTGGAGCCCCAGTCCTCGACAGGCTCATACCGGAAGCATGTCCATGTGGCGCGGGGACCAAGCGAGGTCCAAGCTCCCTTTTACACCCATCTCGCTCCAGATGATTTTATTTATTCAATTGTTTAGAGAGAGATATAGATCAAAATATTGAGAGAGAGACAGAAGACAGACCGTCACAACAGACAGACAGACAGGCACGAGCGACGAGGCACAGACAGACAGTAGACAGAGTTTCAGAGAGAGCTTTTTTGCAATACAAAACGAAATCCGCACACTGGCACTTGGGTCCTCTGATAGAGGCTGTTCACGCGCGCGCAACGAGGCGCGCAGACAGGCTTGAGCACTTGAGCACTGGATAGGGTCCGATTCCGCATGGTACGGGACCCCTCAGACAGGGCTTGCCAGGTGAGAGCAATCGGCGCATTCACGCCTCGCACAAGAGAGAGAGAGAGAGAGAGAGAGAGAGAGAGAGAGAGAGAGAGAGAGAGAGAGAGAGAGAGAGAGAGAGAGAGAGAGAGAGAGAGAGAGAGAGAGAGAGAGAGAGAGAGTAATTGACGAGTAGGCCGTGCGGTGTGTGTGTGTGTGTGTGTGTGTGTGTGTGTGTGTGTGTGTGTGTGTGTGTGTGTGTGTGTGTGTGTGTGTGTGTGTGTCTCATTCATTCTACGACTGTACATTCATCGCGATTGTTTATTCTTTCTCCTCCTGCTCTCCTATGCCACGTGGCTGTGTGTGTTTGGGCTTTGGGTTTCTATGTTTGCGATTTGGATTTTGGATTTTCTACGAACTCTTTGCGTTCATTTATTTTTTGTTCTCATTCATGTTTCGGGTCGTGGGTAGGTAGGGCTGGGGATTACTATTCTGCGACGTGAGCGCAACAATGAAAGTCCATAAAACCTAATGAGGGCCAATTGAACCGTTTGCTATGTTTGCGTTGCACACTTCGTTAGATCTCGCCAAATTTGGCAGCTCCTCGACTTGCGTCCTCGATCCTAGAAGTGGGCCGATCCATCGTCCGCAAGTAGTGGCGAGCCGGGGCAGTCTGCTACTGCTGGCGCCCCGCCCTCGCCACGGCGGTCGCACATGGCGTCAGCCCACGCCTGTCATGGGCCTCTCACCTCCGCTGGAGTCTGCGGCTGCCCGGCAGATTACACGCCCAACGAGCGGGACGCACTCTGTCGCTCGACCTACCACTTCCTTGGGGACAACCTGCAGTGCACGACCGCGCCTATGGCAGTACGGGAGCATGGGGCGAGCATGGATGTCAGCAACGAGCTGCCAGGGTGCCGCGCTGCCTGCGATGCGGATGCAGACTGCATTGGGCTGATGGTGCAGCGCACTGAGGCACCTGCCCATGCTGGTGGGCATATATGGTTCGCGTGCCACTTCATCAGCTCGTGCCCAGAGACTCGGCGAGTGACCGGCTATCGCGTGTACTTCAAGCAGAATCACGCATCGTCGGTGCCAGTGCCAATGTCACTCTTGCTGCCACCGCTCTTGTTCCCGCCTCCGCCACCGCAGCCGCTCCCACCGCCGCTGCCGCTGTCGCCTGCTCCCCTTCTCTTGAGCGACGGCAGGTGTGCCAAGCACTGCCATGAGCCCAAGACGAGCGCGTGGCCACAGCGGTGCAGCTGGGTCGGCTGCGGTGGCTGCGATGAGTGCTTTCCGCCGCCGCCGCCGCAGCTGCTGCCGCCACCTCCGCCATCGCCATCACCGCCGCCTTCGCCTGCGCCCCCACCATCGTCATCACCGCCACCGCCGCCCCTATCGCCGTCATCGCCGACGTCAACGCGTACCAGCTCGTCCCCGTCGCCGCGGGAAGAGCCCTGCGCAAATTACTGCGCAAGGAAGACACATCCGTGGGGGGAACGGTGCAGCTGGGGTGGGTGCTCTGGTTGCAGCGAATGCTTCCCCTCACCGCCGCCGCCGCCAAAGCCGCAGGCATGCTTCAAGCACTGCCACGAGCCCAAGACGAGCACGTGGCCACAGCGGTGCAGCTGGATCGGCTGCGGCGGCTGCGATGAGTGCTTTCCGCCGCCGCCGCCGCAGCTGCCGCCGCCACCTCCGCCATCGCCATCACCGCCGCCTCCGCCTGCGCCCCCATCGTTATCACCGCCACCGATACCGCCACCGTCGAAATCGCCGCCGCCGCCGCCATCGCCGCCACCTCCGCCGCTGAACCCCTCACCGCCGCCGCCGCCAAAGCCGCAGGCATGCTTCAAGCACTGCCACGAGCCCAAGACGAGCACATGGCCACAGCGGTGCAGCTGGATCGGCTGCGGCGGCTGCGATGAGTGCTTTCCGCCGCCGCCGGCGCAGCTGCCGCCGCCACCTCCGCCATCGCCATCACCACACCCATCACTGCCACCCCCGCCCTCGCCAATGCCCTCGCCCCCGCCGCAGCCACCCGGTTGCGCCGGTTACTGCGACACGCAATCGCACGCAAAAAAGTGGAGCTTCATCTGCGGATGGAAGGGCTGCCGTGCCTGCAACGAATGCGCCACTCCCCCGATACCAGCATTGCCGCCTCCACCGCTACCCGCGCCGGAAGCAAGTACTCCGCCGCCGCCGTCGCCGTCGCCTCCGCCACCTCCTTCACCGCCCCCTTCACTACCGCACGGCTGGTACGCCTGCCCCACTGACGCTACGCCAAACGAGCGAGCTGCCCTTTGCCGCACGCGCTACTATTTTCTCGGCGATGATAGGGTTTGTAGGCCAAACCAACGGATGTGGAGCGACCGTGGCGAGAACCGTCTTCCGGTTTGCCGCGCAAGGTGCGACCGCGATTCACAGTGCATTGGCCTGGAGGTCAAAGTTGGCGCCCCAGTGGGCAACCAGGGCCCCCTCGTGCAGTGCCATGGCATCAAGGGCGAGTGCGCGAAAACGGTCTGGGCAAACGGCGTTCGCATGTACATGAAGCGCGCTCTGTCACCGCCGCCACGGCCGCCGCCGCCTGCACCGCCGCCACCATCGCCACCTCCACCACCTCCACCAGGACCACCTCCACCTTCCCCACCACCGCCGCCGCCGCCGTCGCCGCCGTCGCCTCCACCGAGACCGCCTCTCACGGCCATCGGTGTCTATGGCTGCCCGTCGGACTACTCGCGCCACGAGCGCGATGCCCTCTGCTACTCTTCGTACTACTTTCTCGGCAACGACATCGTCTGCACCGGGTTTTGGCCCCCCTTGTGGGAGTCGGGGCCGACCAAGGCTAGCGAGAGGAGGCTGGGCGAGTGCCTGCGAAGATGCGACCGCACCCCCGAATGCATGGGCCTCGTGGTGAGACGCATTCAAGGCCGTGATGGCATATTATGGTATTCGTGCGACACTGTGGATGCCTGCACCGGCACCGAACGTTCCGAGGGGGCTCGCATGTACATGAAGCAGGCGTTGCCCCCGCCTCCTTCGCCCCCGGCGCCGCCACCCCCACCCCCGCCCTCGCCGCCCTCGCCGCCTCCGCTCGTCGAGACGCTCGCGGGCTATCCCAAGTGGGTTGGCAACAGCGCGGTAGTGTGGCTGCCAAGCTCCGCGCCGAGCACGCTGCTCACACTCCGTTCAGTCGGTGGCGAGAGCGCGGGATGCCCATCGAGAGCAGTGGCGCGAAGCTACGACGGCAACACCTGGGAAGGCCTCCCACCAAACCCCTTACATCCTACATGCAACAGGCTCGGCCGGTGTACGGTGGACCTATCTACATTCCGCTGCCCGTATCGAATCGATGCAGTGGCGCATGATCCGGCTGGTACCGACGTGCTGATCTCACGACTCCTCACACAGGCTACGTTCGGGCCGACACGAGCCGCCATCGCCGACTTCAAGGCGGCGTATGGCGTGCATGCCGTCACCGGTCCTGCTTCTTGGGTCGCCTCACAACTCGCCCTGCCACCAACTCTCTTGAGGACGTACCTGCGCGAACGCTCCAATCCCCGTCAGCTCACCGCCTCGCGGGCAGGGGGCGTGATCGGTGCATGTGAGAAAGGGTCGCGGTGGCACCGCTTCTCCTTCTCGATGCGTGACCGGTTCGAGACGCTTGCTGTGTGGCGGGAGCGGCCCAAGCTCCTCTCGCTTCGTGTTAACGGCGTCCTCCGCACCGAGGTCCCGTCGTTCCACGAGGCCCGTGCCAGCCAATCCGCCCCCGCCACCCATCAACTCGTCGCGACATACGTCCTCTGCGAGGTGTGGGAGGCTGCCGTTGGCCAGGACGCAACGCTGCTCCTTGCGAGGGGAGCGCAGCAGAGGATGTGCACCAACTCCGGCATCAGAGAGCCCAACCCCGACATCCATTTTTCGCCGACGTCACCGGTGAGCCATCTTCGCATCTTCGGCGCGCGAGATGCGCGCTTTGAGGCGCTTGCAGGCGTGCCGAGCGTGCTCATCTTGCGCTCCTTGGCCGACAAGCAGGAGTGTACCGCCGCAGGGAGGCAGGTTGGCGGCGCTATTTTCGCCCAGGTCAACGGAAAGACGTACAAGTTCGATGCGCGCCTCCGACTCCTCGGCAACACGCTCGAGGCACCCGCCACCGGCGACCACCTTGCTACACTGCCCTCCTTGGTCCTCGATGGGGGACCGCAGCTTTGCCCACGCCCGAGCAAGAGCTTTGCCAACGCCGTGGGCTGCTCGCGCCGGCCGGCATGCGCGCCGAGCCAGTTCGCGAACGCCCGCTTCAAGCTGGACGCCACGGCGCTGCAACAGTGGTACCACCTCAGTGGGCGCCACGTGCACTACATGACGGGGCTCCGCCTCGAGGTTCCTTACGCGGCATCGCCCTGCTTTGGCCACGCACGCTGGCTGAAGCTCAGCGACGGCGCGTGCGCATCGCCCACCCATGGACAAGTCCCATCGAACACCAAATGGGCCCTCGCCAACGCCATTACTGGAGCCATCGACAAGTCCAACCCCAGAGTGCGCGATGTTGTCGGCCCGGGGGGCAGGTGCTCTGGAGGAGTCGGTGCAGTGGTGAGCGCTGACGGTGGCTGCTGGCAGCACGTGCACCCGCACACCCTCAACACGTATGACATGACAGATTGGTCCGCGGCCGACGCTGAGCTGGGCGATCCCATCAGGCGTGCGTCGGAAGCTGGACATGCATCCTTAACCTTGCCGGCGACGCACACGATGTGGCGCTGGAAGGGTCAGAGCGTGCTCTTCCCACTTCTCGGTCGCTTCGGGGACGTCGTCCGGTTCGACGAGCTGCCCTTCTCTGTCCAGACTCTCGAGATGGCAACGCGCCGGAACGCGTTGACAGCGCGCACCGTTGCGAGCGAGGTTGAATTTTGCGGGTCACCCGGCGAGACTGCCAACCGGCCAGAGTTGGGGCATCTCTACCCTTTCATGATTGATCTCCGAACCAACATCCCCGCTGGTCAGCGCTGGCAGGCAAGCAACGAGGAGGAGCTCGACCACCCGGCTTGGGGGCATGCTGCGTCGACAATGTTGTGGACCAACGTGGCACTCACGGCGCCGGACCAGCTTCGACAGCGAACGGCGTGGGCGCTGATACAGATTCTGGTCGTGTCCAACGTGGACGGGTTCGGCCGCCATGACGAGATTGAGCTGTGGGCGACGTACTACGACATCTTCGTCCGGCACGCGTTTGGCAACTACCGCGACGTTCTGAAGGAGGTGGCCTTCAGCCCCCTGATGGGCATGTACCTTACCCACATGGACAACAAGGCCTTCGCTTTTGATCGGACGTTTCCCGACGAGAACTTCGCGCGCGAAATCATGCAGCTCTTCACCATTGGCTTCTGGAGGCTGAACCGCGACGGCACACAGATGCTGGACGTGGCCGGTCGGCCTGTACCGACGTATGACAACGTCGACGTCATGACCTTTGCGTCGGTATGGACTGGCTTGACGCCGGCGCCTTCTCGCACCAACATCGAAATCGGGCACGACGAGCAAGGCTTCAGCGCGGGCTCGACCTTGGATTCGCGAAACGAGCTGGACCCTATGGTGGTCGAAGCCGTATGGCACGATAAGTTCCCAAAATCCAAGCTGGACGCTGGTTATCTGGCCGATCAGCTGCCGCTCTGCGCAGAGCTCCCGCGCCGCCACTTTCTTGCCAGGGGCGCGGTGTATCGGCTACTCGGCGAGATCAGCGCGGAGGGCGCCGCCTTTGACGCGAATCCGTACACGCAAGACTCTCGGTTGGGCCGGTTCGCCCCAAACCCCCGCGCGTCGCAGCTTCACGCTGCCCTCTGCGCGCGTCCGTCGCGTTGGGGCGCATGCTCCTTCCCCGCGGAAGTGAAGCTTTCGCAGACGCTGCCTTGCCACGAGGAGGAGTGTTTGTCCGACCGCGTGCGGAGCGTTCGGATCGACGATCCGGTCACTGGTACTGCGAGGTGGTACGAGCACGTCCGGCCACCATGCGCGCGCCTCACGTTCTCAAACGGGCGCAGGTACACCAGCTTCAAAGACTACTCCGTTCCGACAAGTGGACCCAAACATTCGCCGAGGCCGGAGAGGCACTTTGCCTACCACCAGTGTGCAGACCCGTCGGCTCCTGTCGCGGCGCCCATGTGCTGCGACCGCAGCGACAGCGTGACGCCACTCAGCACCATCGGACGCAACCACTGCCTCTACGCGGGTGAGTTTGTCAAGTACGCAACGGCTGAGGCGCGATGCGCGCAGCAGGGCGCGGTGCTCTGCACCAGTTCTTACAGGCGGCCGCGTGAGACGACTCCCGCGTCTTTCTGGGAGGAGGGCTGCGGTGAGGGCATGTATGCGTGGACGAGCACCCCGTGTAGGCTGCGAGTGCAGGTGCACGCCGATGGCCTTGTCAACTTGGTCGAGAGCGTTCCCGATGGCCATGACGCCGCCGGCCTGCAAGGTGGCAGTCAGCTCGAGGAGACCAAGGCGAACTCGGAGCACAAGTTCCGCATTCGCTGGGAGAGGAATCGCTGGCCTAGACGACGACAGCAAACCATGGTTGATATTGCCCGTCCAAGACCAAGTCGGTTACGCGGAGGGGTCTCTGCGCGGGATGTGCTGGGGGCCATCCCCCAGTCGATTGCCGCATAGTTCCCGTAGTATCCCTACCATAAACCTCTTTTTCACTATGAGAAAAAAGAAATGTCTAAGTTTTGTCAAAGATCCGGAGGGAGGGTTTCTCGGAGCAAGCAAACAGGACCGCATTAAATGAATAAATAAATAAAAAACAATCTAGAGAGATGGGCGACGCACGAACCAGAGGCTAGATCTAGGTTAGGTTCAGCGCGCAATGACTCTTCGCGTGTTTCTTCCTCACCGCCCTCTGCCTCGTGCTTCCCTCGGAGAGCATCATGAGCTGGGCCTCCATCGCGCAGAAGGCCCCGCCAAAGGCGGCCAAGGAGGAGGAGGAGGTGGCGCCGGCGCCGGCGCCCCCGCGCGCCAACGGCATTGCGACCACAGCCCGGCCAGCGGCAGCGTCAGTGCCGGTCGCAGCGCAGTCGGCGGCGTACGAGCCCGCGCCCAATGAGATCAAATCCGTGGTGCTGTCAAAGCCTACGACGGACGCGGTCCTCGGGATCCGCCTCGCGGGCCGCGAACGGTTGGTCCCCGCCTCGCCTCCCGCTGTGCGGCGCTCTCGCGCCCAGACTATGCGTTCTCCCGCGCCGCTTCTCCGCCATGCTCCACGTCGCGCGCTGACCACGCACCGCCGCGTCGCCCTCGCAGGCCGCGCGTGACGAAGCTTACGGATGGGGGCCTGGCCGCCAAGTCGGGCCTCATTGAGGCTCCCCCCCCCCCCCCCCCTGAAAAAGGA